GAATAGAGCTGGAAGGGAGCTTGGAGGTCTTCTACGCCAATCCTCAGCTCAAGCAGGAGATCTTGTGCAATTTGAGACAAGGGGCCGTCGAGTCTTAAAAACCTCCAGTGATGGAGCCACCCACAACTTCTGAAGGCAGCTTCTGTTCCACTGGTTGATTGTCCTCACTGTTAGGAAGTTTCTCCTTAATTCCAGGTTGCTTCTCTCCTTGATTAGTTTCCATCCGTTGCTCCTTTGTCTTTCTGGTGCTTTGGAGAATAAGTTGAAACCGGCAAATATGAAATTGCTACCAAGATGTCTTCATACCTAGTCAAACCTATCCTAAAAGGTTCAGAAATGGTGACTGGAATCGGAGGTAGAGTTGGATTTGGTCAGCTTTGAGAAGTGGGTGGGTGCCATACCGATATTGCATTCAAGGCTGTATGTTCACAAGAGAGCAGGAGTGAGCTTGTAGAACTCCCTCTTCAGCTGTGGAGGTCATTCATTCATTCATTCACTCACTCACTCACTCACTCACTCACTCATTCATTCATTCATTCACTCATTCATTTATTTTTATTTATTGTTAGTTTTTAGTTATATTTATTTATTTATTTATATAAAAAAATGTTTTTAATTTGATTTATATACCGCCCTTCTCCGGAGACTCAGGGCGGCTTACAATGCGTTAAGCAATAGCCTTCATCCTTTTGTATATTTATACAAAGTCAGCTTATTACCCCCACAAACTGGGTCCTCAATTTACCTACCTTAGAAAGGATGGAAGGCTGAGTCGACCTTGAGCCTTGGAGAGATTCGAACCTGTAATTGCAGGCAGCTGGTCTTAATAACAGGGTGCTTTAGACCACTGTACTACCAAGGCTCCCCATCTCCCTTCCTCCCAAAATTTATTGGCTGCCCATCTTACCATAAGGATTTTTATTTTTATTTTATCTGTTTTATGTATGTATGTATGTATGTATGTATGTATGTATGTATGTATGTATATATTTATTTATTTTATTTACTTATAAAATTTATCGGCTGCCCATCTTGCCATATATGGATTTTAATTCTTTTTTTAAAAAAATTATTTATTTATTTATAAAATTTATCGGCCATAGGGATTTGTATTTGTATTTATTTTTATTTTTACTCTTAATTTTGTTTTTGTTTATTTATTTACTTATAAAATTTATCGGCCGCCCATCTTACCATAAGGATTTTTATTTTTATTTTATCTGTTTTATTTATTTATTTATTTATGTATTTATTTATTTACTTATAAAATTTATCGGCTGCCCATCTTACCATAAGGATTTTTATTTTTATTTTATCTGTTTTATTTATTTATTTATGTATTTATTTATTTACTTATAAAATTTATTGGCTGCCCATCTTGCCATATATGGATTTTATTTCTTTTTTTAAAAAAATATTTATTTATTCATTTATAAAATTGATTGGCCACCCATCTTACCATAAGGATTTTTATTGTTATTTCTTTTTATTTTTACTCTTAATTTTGTTTTTGGTTTATTTATTTATTTATAACATTTATTGGCCGTCTTTCTTGCCATAGGGATTTTTATTGATTCTGATTCTTGTTTGTTTGTTTGTTTGTTTGCTCTTCTTCTTAATTAAAAATTTCCTGTCTCGTTTGAAAACGAAATGCCAAGAGGATCCCGAATAGTCTCTGCGGCCACATCAGGAACGTGGGAACGCGAGTCTGCCAAGCGACGTCTTGCGGGGTGGGTGGGAGAAAACTGAGAAGAGAGACAGCTCTATGGCCAGCTGGCCGGCCACTCAAAGCGTGCTCTGATTAACCTGCCAAATTTGACTGTCGATTCTTGGCAAGGGCTCATAATTCTTTCTCCTCGGATGTTTTCTTGGCAACCTTCTCAGAAACCGAGGTGACTTCCTAGGACAGGGGTGTCAAACTCGGTTTCATTGAGGGCCGCATCAGGGTTGTGTTTGATCTCGGGGGGGGGAGGGGACGGACGCAGTAGGCATGGCCAGGGTGGGCATGGCCAGCTCGATGTCACTCGTGTTGGGGGCACCTGTGGTGGCCAAGTTCCAAGGCAGGACTTCCGTTAGACTCTACCTCACTCTCATTATAATCTTCCTTCCTTCCTTCCTTCCTTCCTTCCTTCCTTCCTTCCTTCCTTCCTTCCTTCCTTCCTTCTTTCCTTCCTTCCTGTCTTCCTTCTTTCCTTCCTTCCTTCCTTCTTTTCTTCTTTTCTTCCTTCTTTCCTTCCTTCCTGTCTTCCTTCTTTCCTTCCTTCCTTCCTTCTTTTCTTCTTTTCTTCCTTCTTTCCTTCCTTCCTGTCTTCCTTCTTTCCTTCCTTTTTTCCTTCCTTCCTGTCTTCCTTCTTTCCTTCCTTCCTTCCTTCTTTCCTTCCTTCTTTTCTTCCTTCCTTTCTTCTTTCCTTCCTTCCTGTCTTCCTTCTTTCCTTCCTTCCTTCTTTCCTTCCTTCCTTCCTTTTCTTCTTTTTCCTCCCCTCTTCCTTCTCCTTCCTTCTTCCTTCCCCTCTTTCCTTATTTTTCCTTCCTTGTTCTCTTCCCATCTTTGTCTTTTCTCTTTCCCTCTCTCCTTTGCTTTCCCGTCTTGCATGCTCAAAATGCAAGCTGGACATGTTGGGGAACCTCTGTTCTAAAACATCGTCGAGGAAAAATAAAAGGAAATAAAATAAAAATGGAAGAAAACTGATAAAACCAGTGAAGTGAAAACACACTTGAAGATTCTTTGGTTCCCTCCCCAAGTATCATTTAATGACCCAGTATCTCTGCTGCTAAGCAGTCATTAAGTGACACATCACATGACCGCCTCACTTAGTGACAGAAATTCTGGCAGTCCTGCTGGGGATCATTAAGTAAATCACCGCGAGTCATTGTATGGCTGTGATTTTCAACCTCTTGCCAGATTCCCCATTGGCTTGTTGGGAGCTAACTGGAAATGTCATTATACGGCAATCGTGACCACAGGATGTTGTTGCATCCATTATAAATGTAGTCAAAAGTCCGAATTGCAGTCATATACGACCGTGGGGACACTGGGTTGGAAGGAAGTCCAGGTGCCTCTTGAAAAAAAGGCCCTTTGGGATGCCTACAGTCACTCTTTCTAGCTCAAATCCTAAAGCCACCCCAGCTATCTTGCCTGCAAGTTCCTTCTCGAAGCCATAGGGGGCATCTTCCTCCCCCACCTCCATCTTCCCAGGAAGATCTGGACTTTTGATCCTTGGGTCTCCCTGAAACCACTTCGGATTTCATATCTTTCATTAAGCTTTGATCGAGACATTAGCTGGCGTCTGGTGACAGAGACACCCGTCCGTCTTTTCTCTCCTGTTTAGCTGATGCCCTCTGATGGGCATTGCATTATCTTCCCCTTTCTTTTTTTTTCTTTTTTTTTCATTCTTTTTCTTTCTTTCTTTCATTCTTCCTTCCTTTTTTCTTTCTTCCTTTCTTTCTCTCTTTTTCTTTCTTCTCTCTCTCTCCCTCCCACCCTTCTTCCTCCGTCCTTCCCTTCCCTCCTTTCTCTTTCTTTCTTTCATTCTTTCTTTCATTCTTCTTTCCTTCCTTCCTTTTTTCTTTCTTCCTTTCTTTCTCTCTTTTTCTTTCTCTCTCTCTCTCTCCCTCCCACCCTTCTTCCTCCGTCCTTCCCTTCCCTCCTTTCTCTTTCTTTCTTTCATTCTTTCTTTCATTCTTCTTTCCTTCCTTCCTTTTTTCTTTCTTCCTTTCTTTCTTTCTTTCTCTCTTTTTCTTTCTCTCTCTCTCTCTCCCTCCCACCCTCCTTCCTTCTTCCTTCCCTTCCCTCCTTCCTCTTTCTTTTTCTTTCATTCCTTCTTTCATTCTTCCTTCCTTCCTTCCTTTTTTCTTTCTTCCTTTCTTTCTTTCTTTTTTTCTTTCTCTCTCTCTCCCTCCTTCCTTCCCTTCCCTTCCTCTTTCTTTCTTTCTTTCTTTCTTTCTTTCTTTCTTTCTTTCTTTTTCTTTTTCTTTTTCTTCCACCCTCCCTCCAGCCCTCCCTCCCTCCCTTCCTTCTTCTTTCTTCTTCCCTCCCTCCTTCCTTCCCACCTCTTCCTCTCTCCCTCCCACCCATCTTCCTTCCTTTCCTTTCCTTTCCTTTCCTTTCCTTTCCTTTCCTTTCCTTTCCTTTCCTTTCCTTTCCTTTCCTTTCCTTTCCTTTCCTTTCCTTTCCTTTCTGCCTTTTTAAAATTTCCTTTCATAATTCTGCGAGTCATTCCGCAGAGTTGGCTGCTGGGGTTTCTTTAAAAGTGGCGGAGGATGGAGAAGTAAGGAAGGAAGCCAGCAAATCGGAGATGGGAACTTCCCAGAAATTTTGCCTGGTGCAGTTAGAAATGTGTGCGGCGTCTTGTAGAACCCTGCAAAAAAAAAAAAGAAAGAAAGAAAAAAAAAAGAATGAAGCATCTTTTCACTATCCCAGTGTTAACACTTATGGATGGCTGACAGAGTGAAGTCATTGCCTGATTTCCTGGAGGGGTGATGTCATGGGTTGGATAAGTCTCGATAATTTCTTGCAAAGTATGAATAATGCTACGGAGCGTATGTCTCCAGTGCTGTGCTCCTTCTTTTCTTCCAGACTTATAAATGGAGCATGCTTGCAGGCCTATAAACCATGCACAGGTTCTAATTTCAGAACAGATCTGGATTTTGTCCAGATTTTGAGGATCGATAGAATGTCTATAACTCAGAATTGAACTGAGGAGACCTTGGTGCTCTCTGAGTTTGGTGGTTTTCTTTCTATTTTTTTAAAGTTCTTTATTTAAATTCCATTTTATATATATAAAGGGAATCTTCTGCCAGCTCCACTGGCAGGCCACAAAACTAAATAGGACGGCATAGCGCCAGGACAGGTGGCCGGGAGCAGGCCCACCCGTAGGTCAAAACTACCGGTTCACCTGAACCGGTACGAACTGACTGAATCCCATCCTTGGAGGTAGCGAAAGAACTGTACATGGGACGAGACGGGTCACGTTAACATGAATTTTCTCTTTGCTGTGCAGCTTATTTCCAGCGACGCCGATGGAGCCATTCAAAGGGCTGGCCGGTTCCGAGTGGAAAATGGCTCGGTGGATGAGGTGAGTGGAAACCTTCCTACATCAATGAGGAGTTGGCTTTGGATATGGCGGGGTGGGGCAAGTGAAGGAAAAGATAACCATGCTTCTATCATGTGTCCATCTAGGCTCTCCCATGCAGCCAGCTTTGGTTGATCTTCAAAACTAGACTTGTATTTGGGTGGGGTCCTGAAACTCAAGGTTGCAGACTCAACAGGGTATTTAGAATAAGGAATTAGGAAGGGACCTTGGAGTCTTCAGCCCCCTCCTCAAGCAGGAGAACCTACACAATCTCAGACTAGTGACTGCCCAGTCTCTTCTCAAAACCCTCCAGCGATGGAGCGTCCACGATTTCTGAAGGCAACTTCTGTTCCACTGGTTGATGGTCCTCACTGTTAGGAAGTTTCTCCTTAATTCCTAGGTTGCTTCTCTCTTTGATCAGTTTCCAACCATTATTTTCTCCTCCTGCCCTCTGGGTAGCTGGAGAAATATCTCAGAAGGCAATGGTGAACAACATCTGTACCAGAATTAAAGAGTTGGAAGGGACCTTGAAGGTCTTCTGGTCCAACCCCCTGCTCAAGCAGGAGACCCTATACCATCTCAGACAAATGATTGTTCAATCTCTTCTTTAAAAGCCTCCAGTTTTGGAGCATTCACAACTTCTGGAGGCATGTTGTCCCATTGGTTAATGGTCCTCACTGTTGGGAAGTTTCTGCTTAATTCCAGATTGCTACTCTCCTTTGATTAGTATCCATCCGTTGCTTCTTGTCTTGCTGCTTTGGAGAATATGTTGAGCCCCAGAGGCTCCTCAGGAGTTGAGTTTGACTCGAAGGCAACTTTACTGTAGCTTTGTTGAGTCCCCAAACTTTCCACCGGCCCATTTCTGCCTTTCATTCAGGGATGGGATTCAGCCGGTTCAGACCGGTTCGGGAGAACCAGATGTTACTTTTAATCTGGTTCGCCGAACCGGTTGTTCCAAGGACTGGCTGACCCTGCCCACCCCTCCCCTCCCCTCCCCTCCTAGGAGTCTCCATGTGGCCCATTTTGTTTGCAAGGTAAGTGCAGGGCCCGCACGGAGGCTCTGGGAGGGTGAAAAACGGGCCTACCAGAAGTCCGGAAACTGGCCTGTTTCCGGCCTCCGGAGGGCCTCTGGAGGCCGAGGGAGGCCGTTTTTCCCCTCCCGGAGGCTTGAGCAAAGCCTCTGGAGCCTGGGAAGGGAGAAAACGCCCTCCCAGTGGTGCAGGATGCCATGCCCCCAAGGCCACGCCCACCCAGCAACCAGGCAGCGAACCGGTTGCTAAATTTTTCAATCCCACCACTGCTTTCGTTGTGACCTGTGAGGTTTTTACTTTCTTTATCTCTCCCATGAGTTGTTCCCAGTTGGTCTTGCTCTGTGGAAGAGTCCTTCCCAGTTCCCCTTTCTATTTCAGAACGCCGATTACACTCCCGGGACGTGGCACAGAACGGATGTCCACTTGGAGAACCCGGGATATCACACCAGATGGTACTTCAAGTATTTTCTAGGAAAAGGTAGAGTGATGCTTTCTGGGGTGTGGGCACGCATGACACATCCGTGGTTTAGAAGCAGGGCTGAATTATGGAATGGTGGCGCAGTGGTTAGAGTGCAGTATTGCAGGCAAACTCTGCCCGCCATCAGCAGTTCGATCCTGACCGGTTCAAGGTTGACTTAGCCTTCCATCCTTCCGAGGTTGGTGAAATGAGGACTGAGATCATTGGAGGGTAAGATGCAGACTCTGTCAACCGCGTAGAGAGGGCTGTAAAAGCATTGTGAAGTGGTATATAAATCTTAAGAGCTATTGCTATTTTCGCATTCTTAGCCTCTTCTTTGCAGTCTCTTTTCCTTGACCTGGCCTAATCTGGAGCTCATTCATTTCAAGGCCACGGGGGTCCTTTGCTGTCCCCCCACCAAATCCTCGCTCACAGCCTCAAGCCCCTTCCAAAGGCTGCTTTCAAATTGCAATTTCAGAAGAGGAAGAAACCTTAAATCCGTTGCATTTTTCGTTTTCATCAAAATGAAAATCAATGGAAGGGAGTCTCTCTCCTTTTTTTTTTTTTTTTCATCTCTCTTTGTCCTGCTGGCAAGCTTATTTCTTCAACACATTGCAAGCAGGGGTGAGCTCCTGGGGATTCAGCAGGGTTTGTGTGATCCTCTAGCCAAGGATCGCTGGGGTTCGGCGAACCCCCAAATACCACCCCTGGCTGGCCCCTCTCACCCCACCCCTCCTGGGAGTCTCCACGCAGCCCGTTCATCATTCCACATAAGTGCAGGGGTCGTGCAGAGGATTTGGAAGGGCAAAAAACAGGGCTACCAGAGGTTGCGGAAGTCCAGAAACGGGCCTTTTTCTGGCCTCCAGAGGGCCTCTGGAGCCAAGGGGAAGCAGTTTTCACCCTCCCGGAGTCTCCGGAGCCTGGGGAGGGCAAAAAATGGGCCTCCCAGAAGTTCTGGAAGTCCGGAATGCCTCTGGAGGCTGGGGAAATATTTTTCGCCCTCCTGGAGGCTCGAGGAAAACCTCTGGAGCCTGGGGAGGGCGAAAACACCCCCCCTGCCGCTGTGATGCAGGAAGTCGACTAGGCCACGCCTGCATGGCCACGCCCACCCAGCAACGGGGCAGCGAACCCGTTGCTAAAGGATCTGAAACCCATCCCTGAGAAACCCCTGAAGTTGATGTGGCAAAAGTTGGTCCTGATGATTTTCTATGACTCTCTGCCAGCTAATTTTGCTCGGGCTGATGAAGTTGCTTGGATGAGCAATGAAACATCTAGATTAACCAGAGTGGATTTGATTTAAATCGAGTTGATTTAAATCACAATTTAAATCACGATTTAAATCACTAGTAAAAAGGCTTGATTTAAATCAACTCGATTTAAATCATAATTTTTAAAGAGCAACTTTCATCTCTGCTCCTCCTTTGACCCACTGTTGACTCACCGATAGTCCCAGTATTGCAGAATATACAGCCTCGTGCTACATAACTAAGCTCCATTTCATGCTGAATAAACTAAATTATTTATGTATCTTAAATAGAAAACTATCTTATGATAGATTTTTACCCAAAAAGTTTTTTATTAAAATAAATTCGATAAAAATAAAAAAAAATCTGATTTAAATAAAAAAAATCCGATTTAAATAAAAAAAATCCGATTTAAATAAAAAAAATCAGATTTTTTTGATTTTTTTAAAAAAATCATTGATTTTTATCCACCCTGAGATTAACTAAGTTTGCTCCAGTTGCCATGATTCAACCATGAGTTACCTCGGGGCTGGATGATGGAGTCTTCGTGAATTTATTTCTTTGGGTGTCGCTCCTTGACCCTCAAAAAGAAATCGTGTGTTATGGGGGTGGGGGAGGGGAAATCACCAATTCTAAATGTTGTGTTGTCTTTCCTTCCCAGTTCATCAGAACTATGTCGGCATGGACGCAGAGAAAAACCCCTTTTTCTTATCTGTTGTGCTCTCCGACCAAAACAATCAGCGTGTCCCACAATACCGAGCGATCCTCTGGAGAAAAACAGTAAGTGGCAGAGCCTCTGAGTTACAGGGAGTCCTCGGCTTATGACCATTCACTTAGTGTCCGTTCGAAGTTACGACAAAGTATGATAAAGAGAATCTATACTTAATATTACATCTTTTGACAGCAGCAAGAATTGTATATGCACAGTATTGGAAAAATGAGGAAAAACCTACAGGGGATCATCTCATTAAAAAAATTTTTACATTGTGCAGAAATGGACAGATTGACACTAAAAGTAAAAGAAAAAGAAGATACAGAATATTTTCAAACATGGGACTTGTTTTTTATAAATGGTTGGATAGCTGAGGTAGAAATTTAGGAGCAGGAAAAATATTATTGTGTAAAAATAAATTGATCCAGGCAATACGCTGTTCATTAAGCATTTATGTATGTAATATAAAAATATATAAAGAATGGAATGGAATGGAATGGAATGGAATCGAATAATAGAATAGAATAGAATTATAGAATAGAATAGAATAGAATAGAATTATAGAATAGAATAGAATAGAATAGAATAGAATAGAATGGAATGGAATGGAATGGAATGGAATGGAATGGAATGGAATGGAATAGAATTCTTTTTATTGGCCAAGTGTGATTGGACACAAGGAATTTGTCTTTGGTGCATATGCTCTCAGTGTACATAAAGAAAAAATAAAATATATTCGTCAAGAATCATAAGATACAACGCTTCGTCACATTCATAGGATACTAATAAGCAATCAAATCATACCAGGAAACAGTAAAAACAATATAAGCTGTAAAGATACCAGCAACATGGACATAGCCATAAGTGGGAAGAGATAGGTACTAGTAAGGATGAGAAGAAGAATAGTAATACAGCCTTAGTAGTTAATTTGACAGTGTTGTGGGAATTAGTTGTTAGTGTTAAAAACTGTTTTTTTTTTAAAAAAAAAAAGAAGAAAGAAAATCCTCAAATCCATCTGATATCTGACGGCTTTAATCTGCGTTAAACCCCAATTCTCTTACAGGGTACCCAGAAAATTTGCCTTCCATACAGCCCGACGAAAACCTTGTCTGTAAAATCCATTTTAAGGTAAGGAAGAGCCGCCAGTGACCTGAGTCCCGCTGTCGTTTAGCACCAGAAAACAAAGGATCTGAAACCCCTCCCTTGCTTCCCTTTTGCAGTGCCATGAATCTTGACAAATTCGAGAAAGGGCCTCGGGAGATCCTTCACCCGGAAATTCAAAAGGTATATTTATTTATTTATTTATTTATTTGTTCGTTAAGTGCATTAAATGTCGGCGAGGGGCAATTCTGGGGGCGCTTCCAACGGTGGGAAAAAAAAGGAGGAATGAAAAGAAATGGAAACTGCTACTGCGTTGTCTTGTTTGTTATTTATATGGTGTGTTGTTCTTCTTTTGTTTTTAATGGAAAATGTAAATAAAGATTATTTAAAAAAAAAAAGAAAAAAGAAATGGAAACATAACAGTATCAAAGTAATGAGACCGGAGGCGGTTTGGACCAGTAACGGAAATCGCGGGTGGGTCCGCCCAATCTATACGCCATTCCTATTTAGACACGTTTTTAGGCCGGGCGCATGTGCGGAAGGCAGGTGCACTCGCGAACCAGGCGCGGTGAAACGGGAGTAACATCATGTGAAACCCACCGCTGAGTGAAGCCATAAAGATAAACGAGGGAAGAAATCAGGGCTCCCCAAACGTGGCAACTTTACGACTTGTGAACTTCAACTCCCGGAATTCTTCATGCTGGCTGGGGCATTGGTGCCAAGGCCACCAAGGAGCCTTGGTGGCGCAGCGGACTAAACTGCTGTTAAAGTAGCGCTTAGCTGCCAGCTGCCTGCAATTCCTGCGAGTTCAATTCTCACCAGGCTCAAGGTTGACTCAGCCTTCCATCCTTCCGAGGTAGGTAAAATGAGGACCCGGTTTGTGGGGGCAATAAGCTGACTTTGTATAAAATAGAACATCGCTTAGGGTGGGCCAAAAAGCCCTACTAAGCAGGTATATACAAAAGTATGAAGGCTATTGCTTAACGCATTGTAAGCCTCCGTGAGTCTCCGAAGAAGAGCGGCATATAAATCGAACTAATAAATAAAAATAAATAAATTCTGGGAGTTGAAGTCCACAAGTCTTAAAAGTTGGCAAGTTTGGACATCCTGGAATAAACCATGAAGGTACGGTAATAAATACAGATTTAACCGTAAACCATCCAGACTGCTTTGACTAGTGGGCAGTTTATTATTATTATTATATTATTATTATTATTATTATTATTATTATTATTATTATTATTATTATTATTAAAAAGTTCTAAATAAATAGATCCGTTGCTTCTTAAATGAAGGAAGGCAGAAGATCTCAATGTTCCAAGAAATTAGACTGTATATTCTATTTCTTTATGCTGTTTACAGGGTTGTCCCTCTCAAATACACAACTTTGGATGATTAACAATGGTGAAAGCTAGATCAGAACAAACCCAAGTAATAAATAACATGTATAGAAGCCATTAAAAAAAACAACAGCCAATAAGAATGGACACATCAAAAGACAAAGCAAGGAACTACAAGGAGGAAACTATACCTCTACTAACACTGCCAGGGCAAGCTATTGTATATCCCCTGTTTCCCCGAAAATAAGACCCAATTGGAAAATAAGCCCTAGCATGATTTTTCAGGATGCTTGTAATATAAGCCCTATCCCCAAAATAAGCCCCAGTTAAGATCGTTAGCCAGACGGAGGCATTTAGTACCATATTTCCCCGAAAATAAGACCCAACCAGAAAATAAGTCCTCGAATGATTTTTCAGGATGCTCGTAATATAAGCCCTACCCCCAAAATAAGCCCCAGTTAAGATTGTCCAGACGGAGGCATTTAGTACTGTATTTCCCACAAAATAAGCCCTAACCAGAAAATAAGCCCTAATGTGTCTTTTGGAACAAAAATTAAGATAAGACCCAGTCTTATTTTTGGGGAAACATAGTAAACAACGAGCAAACCCCATTCCCTTCTAGCACTGATGGTGTTACCTAATTGGGTAATGAAATGTCTACAAGCAAACAACGAGGCTTAGAGATACTGTATATAAACTGTATATAAACATCCCAAAATAAATGTATATTAAAAATATTTCTCTCTCTCTCTCTCTTTCTCTTTCTCTTTCTCTCTCTCTCTTGGTTGTCCAGGATTTATTAGTCCTAGAAGAGCAAGAGGTAATCTGCAGGGCAATTTTTTAAATTTATTTTTTATTGCTTTTAAAATAATGACAACAAAAGGAAAATAAAAAAACCCCACCAAGATAATTATGATAAACATGCATATATTGTCAGAGAAAAGAGGGGAAAGCATGTAGGAAGTGCTTTTTTAAAGAAGTGAAAAAAATACAATGAAGAGAAAAAAAGGGGAAAAATTAGTATTATCGTTTTAATAGTAAATAGTTACAATTCCATATGTACTTTTTCATGCAAATATTCAAGCGTGTCTATACTTTAATACATTAATGAAACTATCCCTTTTTAAACAGCGGTAAATGGGGCAAGACTCACTTAACGACTGTCTCGCTTACCAACAGAAATTTTGGGTTCAATTGTTATAAGTCGAGAACTGCCTGTAATGGAAACTTCAGTGTAATCTTGTTCACACATGTGGTTTTTCTCTCTCTTGCAGGGCTCGGTCAATTTCAAGTTTGGAATTCTTTATGCCAAAGACGGACAGCTAACGGATGATGAAATGTTTAGCAACGGTAAGTCTGCGATTGGTTCACTCCCTCTTGCCGGGCGCAACGAACCAGGCGCCTTTGCTGAGTTCCAAGCACATGCTGTCTATACCCAAGAATCTACTCAACTAGCGGTCAAAGCTAAATTGGCACTAAGATAAGAGTCAACGGGATTCACAGGAGGATTGGACGTCAATTCCAAACTGATGACATGTTTGACTCCGCCTTCCAGCTCAGCCTGCTTGTCTCCTACACCACTGTCTTCCCTGTTCTGACCTAGGCTTCCCCAGCAGCACGAAGCCAAGTCCTCGTCCCGATAAACCTCTTTTATTTTATTTTATTTTATTTATTTATGTATTTATTTATTTTTTGCTTTAATTTATATGCCGCCCTTCTCCGGAGACTCAGGGCGGCTTACAATGCGTTATTTAATTGACAGTGAATTCCTCTCCAGCAAAGTCTTTCCTCTCCCACAGTCTTTCAAGATCGTTCACAATTACCGACCTTTATCAGGTTTGGCTGATATCTTTCAGACGCTGCAATACTTGGCAAGAATGCAGGAATGAACTAATTGTCTCCTGCAAACTCCACTCCCCTTTCGCTCCTCTTTTATTCCCTCTGGGAGGGGCCCTTCATCATCCACCTGTGGCCTTACTCCTGAGTCGACCCTTGTTCTTTAGCTGTTCCCTTCGTCTGGCAACTCTGCCCATGCGCATACTGGGAACAGGCTCCAGCTGTTTGTCTGCCTCACTGATGTCTGACTCCAAAGGCAGCTGATAACTGTCAGACGGCCCTGGTTCCCTCTCTGCCTCCGACGCAGAGCCCTCGTCCGAGCCTTCCCCAGACTCCAGGACTGGCCCATGTTCCTCCCCAACCTCCTCACTGTCTGAATCTGCTGCCAGATCTGCTGGCCGCTGGTGGGCCACAACATTCCCTGAGCAACGGAGACATCAACTCTTAGCAGAATGGTTGGTGCTGAGTTTAGGGTTGGTAGTGCCCTTTGCTGGCTAAAGAATAATGGAAAGGAGGTTGGGGAAGATACCACGGTGAAATGACTGATCTTAGATCAAACATGGCTAGCTGGCTGGGGGGAAAACACAGAAACTTTCCCAGGCCTCCCAAGTGACATTTTTCTTCTCGTTCTTTGATATTCTGGCCACCGTAAGCAACATCTGTCTATAGTTGCTTTGTGTTCACCATTACTAACCAGTGAGTTGCGATCTCCATTGCAACGGATCTTCCTTGATCCATCTTTATTTTTTGCTTACATTATTCTGCCGGGGGTGGGGGGAAAGCACTGCCGATACCGCAGTGACACTGGATCCGATCTTGCCTATTGGATTTTCCCTTCCCTTCCCCACCCTGACCTCCCCCCCCATTGAAATAAGCCAAAGTTCCTACAAAGCTTTTTTGTTTGATGCTAATCTGCTTTTGCCAGCAGCGAAAATAAACAAATAAATACATTCTTTTGCAGTAGCTTCTTGGGAACACTGCTCTTCTTGCAAATTTCATTTTTTTAAAAAAATAAATAAATAAATAAAATCTCCCCAGCAGCTGCTGGTACAACTCCGCCTTCTGCTAAAATGTTTGCCTGCGTTTCACAATTTGTTTTCTCCTCCATGTCTTCCAACAGCAGCTAGAGTGATATTTTAAAATGTGCTTTCGGGACATTCTGTGTTTATATGACTAAAAGCTCTGGCAACGCTGCGGTTATGTTTGCAAAGCCAGCTCGACATGTTTCGTGTGTTTGGTCGCCAGAGGGATCACAAAATAAACCCTTCCTTTTCCTTGGCTTCCTCATCCCAACCCAACACTCTTTCCTTTGTTCTCGTCACCGAATAATCATCCTCCGTGTTTTTCCAGGAAGAGAAGTTAGAGAAAGATGCTGCTAATAGCTTTTAAATCCATCGTCTGCCCTCTGCAGGTCTGGAATTGCTAGTACCCATCAGTTCAATTTTTTCCTCTCTCTTTTTTTTTTGCGACAGGGCTTGCTTTAACCGCTTGGCTCTTTTGCCGTATGTCCTTTCATCGTAACCTGAGATTGTTGTGTCCTCTTTTTTTTCTCGTTGTTGTTGACAATCAAATCTACCTTTTGGCCTTCTCAGTAACCCAAGGCCATTTGTCAGGCATGGTGTAGGGCAGTGATGGCGAACCTATTCGGCATCATTGAGTGCCGAAAACGTTGTGCAGAAATGTTGCATGTGTGCACGCTCGTCAGGTCCGCACTCTGGAAAAACCGAACTTCTGGGTTCTGGCACGCACGCGCAACCGACAATCAGCTGACCGGCGGGCATGCACACACCGGTTTTCGGCACTGCCATGCACGCGAAGAACAGCTAATCGTCGCACACGCGTGCGGGCCAGAAACCCAGAAAACGAACAGGGAAGGCTTCGCGTGCCGGGCGACATGGCTTCACGTGCCACTTTGGCCACACATGCCATAGGTTTGCCATCACGGATATAGGGTCTCGTGCTTGAGTGGGGGGTTGGACTAGTTGACGTACAAGGTCCCTTCCAACTCTGTTAATCTGTCTGTCTGTCTGTCTGTGTCTGTCTATATCTATCTATCTATCTATCTATCTATCTATCTATCTATCCATCCATCTATCTCTATCTATCTATCTCTATCTATCTATCCATCCGTATCTCTCTCTATCATTATCTATCCATCCATCCATCCATCCATCCATCCATCTATATGTATCCATCCATCATCCATCCATCCATCCATCCATATCTATCCATCCATCCATCCATATCTATCCATCCATCCATCCATATCTGTCTATCAATCCATCCATCCATCCATCCATATCCATCCATCATCATATCTCTCTCTATATATATCTATATCTATTTATCTATCTATCCATCCATCTCTCTCTCTATCATTATCTATCCATATCTATCTATCCATCCATCCATCTATCTATCTATCTATCTATCTATCTATCTATCTATCTATCTATCTATCCATCCATCCATCCCTATCTATCTATCTATCCATCCATCCATCCATCCATCTCTATCTATCTATCTATCTATCTATCTATCTATCTATCTATCATCTATCTATCTATCTATCTATCTATCTATCTATCTATCTATCTATCCCTTCCCCACCTCATTTCTTTCCAATGTCTAGAAACCGGAAGCGAAACTTTTCAGAGGTTGTTGAGTCTCTTGGGGGACACGGTGACTCTCAAGGGCTGGACCGGCTACCGAGGAGGACTGGACACCAAAAGTAAGTGGACGTTTGGTATTCTGTGTTTCTACTTGGAGAAACGTAGGGGGTTGGGGCGCACTATTTTGCAGTGGGGAGGAAGGCCTTTGGAGGACTCCATTCCAGAAGCCCAACAGCAGCAGGATAAAGAGACAAGGGGTCCAAGTGCCAACCAACTTAAAACGAAGAATTTGAGTTGAGCTTTCATTACCTTTCAAACACTGCAGAATCCTGGGAATTGGTCCAGATCTCTTAAAAGTGGCCAGCTTCGAAAAATCCTCCCAAAATCAACCCACCCTAAATGTTATTTCTCTGCCTTTTTTTTTTTTTTTTTTGCAGATGACACAACAGGGATTTATTCCATCTACACCGTCTACCAAGGGCACGAGATCATGTTCCACGTCTCGACCATGCTTCCATACTCAAAGGAGAACAAGCAACAAGTGTGTGGTTTTCCATGTTGGTTTGTTGGCAAACCACGATCACAGGGAACGAAAGGGGCAGAGCACTGAACCTTGTTTAGGCGATATCCCACATCATTATGGCAATAGGGTTTGGCAAAGACCAAGTGCAGTGAAGAACAGATCAATTGGTTAAAAAATCATGTGCCTAGGCGAGGAAGAGTTGAGGGGAAAGTCATAGAATTGGAAAACCGCAGTGAGTTCAACCTTGACGCAAGTTAAATTCTCCGGTGAATTTTGACATGGCCAAAATGAGTTTTCTTCCAGACGTTTCATGACCCAGCTAGGTAACACCATCAGGGCTGGAAGGGAGTGTGGTTTATGGAGAGGAGGAGTTGGGTCCTTGGTGCTCTCTGCGCTTGCTTGTTTTCTTGCAGATGTTTCATTACCCAACATCATCAGTGCTAGAAAGGAGTGGAGTTTGGTCTCTGCTTATTTATATTTGCCATTTGTGTATAAACAGAGCGCAAAGTCGTTCCCAACTAGATAACACTGATGATGTTATCTAGTTGGGTCGTGGGACGTCTGCAAGAAAACAGTTTTGTGATTTTGACTTCTAGTCTATTTAAGAGACTGGAAGGGACCTTAGAGGTCATCTAGTCCAACCCTCCCCACCTAAGCAGGAGTCCCTACACCATTTCTGACAAATGGCAGCCCAATCTTTTCTTGAAAGAATCAAGTGATGAAGCTCCCACAACTTCCGAAGGCAACTTCTCTTCCATTGGTTGATTGTTCTCACTGTCAGAAAGTTCCTCCTCATTTCTAGGTTGAATCTCTCCTTGGTCAGTTTCCATCCGTTATTCCTTGTCTGGCCTTCGGGTGTTTTGGAAAATAGCTTGACCCCCTCTTCTCTGGGGCAACCCCTCAAATATTGGAAGACTGCTATCATATCTCCCCTGGTCCTTCTCTTCACTAGTCTAGCCAGGCCCAGTTCCTGTAACCGTTCATCATATGTTTTAGTCTCCAGTCCCCTAATCATCCTGGTTGCTCTTCTCTGCACTCTTTCTAGAGTCTCAACATCTTTTTTATAATGTGGTGACCAAAACTGGATGCAGTACTCCAGGTGTGGTCTTACTAAGGCTTTATAGAGTGGTATTAGTACCTCACTTGATCTTGATAATACAATTACGAAGCTATCTTTACACATTGGGTAGGAAGCACATGAAATGGAAAACCAAAGCTAACGTCAATAGGGAATCCAACGCTGAGATCTATTTGATTCTTCTTTTGCAGGTAGAAAGGAAGAGGCACATCGGAAATGACATTGTTACCATCGTGTTCCAGGAAGGAGAAGAAACTTCACCAGCTTTCAAACCGTCCATGATCCGTTCTCACTTTACACGTATCTTTCACTACGATCCTGGACTTGCTACTCACGTCTGCTGTTTTGTCCTTTAGAACAGATTCGGTTTTTAAACCTTTCCCTCTGAGGTTTAATAGAACGCCGGAGAAATCAGGAGATTCAGGCAGTTCAAATGAGCATAAAGATTTATTGCAAGCTTAAGGTCTCTACAAGAATCTGACCAACTAACAGTCAAGGGGAAATGAGCGGGAGATAAGAAAGGCATTCAAAGCGGGCTGGATTTAGATCTTTTGTGGGCACGCAGGGACTCATGACTTATGACATGTTTAACCCCTCCTTCAGGCTCAGCCTGGTCGTCTCCTATAAGTCCTTCCTTGGATACATGTTTTGAAACACATCATAATTGGAATTTAAATGACTCTCAAGCGGGGTTCCGAACATGGAAGCTGAAATTAGTTAAATTACTTCCAAGTAGATTTTGTTGCACATTTGGGGACTTACCAGGACCAAGGAAGCTACACTCTGGCTATCTTGCATTTTTACATTTGTAACCATGATCAGGTTGGGTGCCATTGGAGTGTAGTTTGATACCCCTGTTGAAAATTTCAGTTCCTTTGCTGAATTGGATCTTTAATTTCAGCCAAAATTTGCTGACGTTTGGGGGCGGGGGAGGAGAGCCGTTACAAAATATGATCCCCTGACTTAATAACTGGAAATCGGTATCCTTAACTAACCCTGCAGATATTTTTGCCTTAGTGCGATACAATAAACAAAGTGAAAGCTACAGGTAGGTGATAACTCTGGTACAACTACTCCTTCCTATTGCAGTAGTACTTAGACTTATATCCCGCTTCATAGTGCTTTACAGCCCTGTCTAAGCGGTTTACAGAGTCAGCCTCTTGCCCCTAACAATCTGGGTCCTCATTTTACCAACCTCGGAAGGATGGAAGGCTCAGTCAACCTTGAGTCGATGAGAATCGAACTGCTGGCAGTTGGCAGAATTAGCCTGCAATGCTGCATTCTAACCACGGGGAGAGAGGGAGGGAGGGAGAGAAAGAAGGAAGGAAGGAAGGAAAATAGTAATAGCTCTTAGACTGCAATACTGCATTCTAACCACTATGCCACTATGGCAAGAAAGAAAAGGAGGGAGGGAGGGAAGGAAGGAAGGAAGGGAAGAAGGAAGAAGGAGAAAGAGGGGGAGAAAAGGAAGGAAGGAAGAAGAAAAGAGGGAAAGAAAGGGAAGGAAGGAAGGAAGGAAGGAAGCAAGCAATAGCAATAACACTTAGACTTATATCCCGCTTCACAATGCTTTGACAGCCCTCTCTAAGCAGTTTACAGAGTCTGCATCTTGCCCTCCAACGATCTCGGTCCTCATTTTACCGACCTCGGAAGGATGGAAGGCTGAGTCAACCTTGAGCCGGTCAGGATCGAACAGCTGGCAGAGGGCAGAGTTAAGCCCGCAATACTGCATTCTAACTACTGCCCCCACCACAGCCCTATAATTTAAAATGGCATGTTGCATCCTTCAGCGCAATGTGATATTGTCACAAAAAACACAGCGTGGCAGGAGAAACCCAAGGCTTGGAAAACAGAAATTTTGGGGCTCAATTGTGGCCATAAGTCAAGGACTAGTGTAAGTCTCCGCTTCTCCGATTTATGGACTTTGCCCATAAATTCAGATCCTTCCACGAGCTTCATAAAGACCTCGCTGGATGTCAGCAATTCAGGTAGTCCTCGATTTACAACCATTCCTTTAGTGACCATTTGACATTACAACCTGCAGCTGTTCCTCGCACGTACGACTGTTGCAGCATTAAATGTTGACTTGTTGTTTTTTTTTTAAATACGTTTGGCAGATACGGACTTATTAGGGAATAAATTCCAAGTTCCATGTCATCAGATTTTCGTTCTCTCTTTCCTTCTCTCCCTTCCTTCTCTCCCACCTTCGTAGGCTGAAAATTTTTTCAGAAGAAAGCGTCCCCCTCTTTGGACCCCCGCTTCCCTCCCCGCCGGTGTTCACCGACCACCAGGAGTTCAGGGATTTCCTTCTGGTAAAATGTAAATATTAAACATTCCTCCGTCTTCCGCTTAATCTTGGCATCAAGACGCTTTCTTGAAATTGAGCCTACTAAAGTCAGGTGTTGTGGCCTGCCAGGAGCCAGTGGATCTGGCAGCAGATTCGGATAGTGAGGAGGTTGGGGAGGAACATGAGCCAGTCCTGGAGTCTGTGGAAGGCTCAGACGAGGGCTCTGCGTTGGAGGCAGAGATGGGGCCAGGGCCGTCTGACAGCTGCCTTCGGAGTCAGACATCAGTGAGGGAGATGAACAGCTGGAGCCTGTTCCCAGTGTGTGCATGCGCAGAGCTGCCAGATGAAGGGAACAGCTAAAGAACAAGGGTCGACTTGGGAGTAAGGCCACAGGTGGACGATGAAGGGCCCCTCCCAGAGGGAACAAAAGAGGAGCAAAAGGGGAGTGGAGTTTGCAGGAGACAATTAGTTCATTCCTACATTCTTGCCAAGTATTGTAGCGTCTGAAAGATATCAGCCTGCCCACTCTCCAAGCCTGATAAAGGTCGGTAATTGTGAACGATCTTGAAAGACTGTGGGAGAGGAAAGACTTTGCTGGAGAGGAATTCACTGTAAATTAAATAAAAGGGGTTTATCGGGACGAGGCCTCGGCTTCGTGCTGCTGGAGAAGCCTAGCTCAGAACACCAGGCATAATCCATCCAGCACCTTGGCAAGATGATCATAAGAGAAGAAGGAAATCCTTGCAGTAAATATTTGGCTGGACAAAATATATATGTATATATTCGTCATCCCTAATAAGAGTGGCGTGGTGGCCTAGAGGTGATGCTCTTGCCTCACAATCAAGGATCCTGTTGTGGCTCCGATCCCCGAGCCCATCTTATCGGAGGAAGAAGGCTCCGAACATGAAGGAGAGGAGCCGGCCAGGCCTCCCTCTCCAGGCCCCTCCTCTCTGGCAATGCCTCAGGTGTCTGCCGAGGGAGAGGAGATTCACCAGGAGCCAGGTGTCTCCGATGACAGTGATGACGGTGATAAGTCGTTCCTGGATCCACGCCAACGAAGGCGAGATAAACATTTGCAGCAGATGAGGAGGCGTGCCAAGGATTAAGCTGAGTCACTGGACCACACCCCACAGGCTATATAAGAGAGTGTGGTGGCCATTTAGACTCTGTGACGGACAAAGCTAACTTCTGGCTAGTCACTTTGTACAACGCCTGATCTGCTGAAGGTTTCATGTTTGAGCTGGACTGTTTTGAAAACTGTGTGTCTTAGTTGGTGTTATCTGGTGGAGGAACACTCCCTCTTCTTGTAGTAAAGCACTTGGCAGACGGTTATCGTATTGCTTCCAAGTTCCTGATAACGAACCTTGTGTGTGCCGAGTACTTCTTTAACCCCCGGCTGGCTGTTTGTGTGTGTGTGGGGACGGGGACAGAATAGATCCCTTCCAACTCGTGTTATTTTCTTACCCTCTTCTCTTTTGGTGCAGTGATCAATGGGGAGAAAGCCACCTTGGAAACGCCGACTTTTGCTCAGAAGCGACAAAGGACGCTAGACATGTTAATCCGCTCCTTATACCAGGATCTCATGCCCGACATGCACAAGGTAAGCTCTCTCCTGCCCAGGGGGAGCAACCTGAGGTTATCCAGCCCAACCTCCTTGCTTTGATCCCATCTTGGAAATGCCCAAGCTCTCCCAAGATGTCAGCCCCTTTTCTTCAACTTCCGGCTGTGGTGGTTGGTTGTTGTCTGTTTCTAGAACATGCTGAACAGGAGATCCTTCAGCGACGTCTTGCCCGAATCCCCCAAATCAGCTCGGAAAAAAGAAGAAGCTCGGCAGGCAGAATTTGTCCGGCTTGGCCAGGTACGTGTTGACGAGTGTTGTGGCCTGCCGGTCTCAAACAGTGAGGAGGTTGGGGAGGAATGTAGGCTACTCCTGGAGGCTGGGGAAAGCTCGGACAAGGGCTCTGCATCGGAGGCAGAGAGGGAGCTAGTCAGTAGAGAGGCAGAGGAACAGCTGGAGCCCATTCCCACTGTGCTTATTTTACCCACCTCGGAAGGATGAAAGGCTGAGTCAACCTGGAGCTGATCAAGATTGAACTGCTGGCAATGGGCAGAGTTAGCCTGCAATACTGCATTCTAATTACAAGGAAGGAAGGAAGGAAGGAAGGAAGGAAGGAAGGAAGGAAGGAAGGAAGGAAGGAAGGAAGGAAGGAAGGAAGGAAGGAAGGAAGGAAGGAAGGAAGGAAGGAAGGAAGATACCAGTTAGACTTATCTACTACTTCACCGTGCTTTACAGCCCTCTCTAAGCGGTTGACAGAGTCGGCCTCTTGCCCCCGACAATCTGGCTCCTCATTTTACCCACCTCGGAAGGATGGAAGGCTGAGTCAACCTTGAGCCGGTCAGGATCGAACTGCCGACTGCAGTTAACTTTGATATAATGACTGAATCATACAAGCTGAATTTGGGGTCTCCTCTCCTCCTTCTTTATACTCCCTTGATTTGGAGTAGACACTCTGCGCTTCTTCCTAATTTGTAGAAAGATATTGGAAGACTGGGTGAAAAGAGGCTGCCGAGAGAACGGTTAGATAAGAGACCACATTGCCTGCAGCTGTATAGTGGGTGGGTCAAAGAGGCTCATAACAAACCCTTTCTAGTTTCTCAGGCTGCATAGGAGTCAGGGGTGGGAGAGGATCGTACAGGTAGTCCTCGACTTATGCCCACAATGGACCCCAACATTTCTGTTGCTAAGCGAGACAGATGTTAAGTACGATTCACCCCGTTGTATGACCTTTTTATGCCCACAATGGACCTCCACATTTCTGTTGCTAAGCGAGACAGATGTCAAGTGAGATTCACCCCATTGTACGACCTTTCTTGCCACGATTGTTAAGTGAATCCCTGCAGTCGTGAAGTTAGCGACCCAGTTGTTCAGTGAATTTTGCTCCTCCTGTCATCAGAGTCACAAAAGGGGATCCCATTGTGATCCTGGGAATGTCGTAAATATAAAGCCGGTTGCCAAGCATTTGAAACTTTGACCTCGTGACCATGGGGGGAATGCTAAAACGGTCGTAAGGGTGAAAAATGGTCATACATCGCTTTTTCCAGTGCCATTTTAACTTCGAACGGTCACTAAATAAATGGCTGTAAGTTGAGAATGACTGTAATTTCAGAATTGCAGGATTGATCTCAACCACATTGGATTAGCCAGACACAAGCGAAATTCTACTTTATTGCAATGCTACCTTAACAGAATATTATTATTATTGTTGTTGTTGTTTATTTCTTTCTTTGAAGGCCCTCAAACTGAAAACTATTGTGAGGGGGGACGCCCCAACTATTTTAGCTACGACCAGCCTCTGTAAAAAGGAGGTGAGCGAATCGTTCGGGGGGGGGGGTGGGAGTGGGGCGAACCTTTGCAAGGAGGAAAACGGTTGTCCTTCAAACAAGATCGACCTGCTTTCGGTACAAACCCATTGGAATCCTTTGCACCGTTTGAAGGAAACGCCGTAAAAATGTTGCCCGCTGTTTTGCTTTTAACAAACCAACGTCCTCCCTTTTTTTTTTTTTTGTTTTTCATTTGGGAAATTTTGGGCAATGGGGACAGGGGACGCGGGTGGACTGTTGTCATTCCTCCATAGTGAAGTGGGTGAAGAATTCTAAAGCAACACACTGCCTTCATTTCCAAGATGTCTCTCTTTCTCCTTTTTTTTCTCGTTCTCTTTCTTTTTTTCTCTCGCTCTTTCTTTCTTTTACTTGCTTTCTCTTTCTCTCTCTCTTTGTCTCTCTGTCTGTCTCTCTCTGTGTGTCTATCTCTTCTCACTCTCTCTCTGTCTGTTCCTTTCTCTCTCTGTGTTGCTTTCCTCTCTCTGTCTCTTTCTGATTCTCTGTTTCTCTCTCTCTCTCTCTGTTTGTCTCGCTGTTTCTCTCTCTGTGTCTCTTTCCTCTCTGTCTCTTTCTGTTTCTCTGTTTCTCTCTTTCTCTTCCTTTCTTTCTCTCTCTGTCTCTGTCTCTCTTTCTGTTTGTCTTGTTGTATCTCTCTCTCTGTCTCTGTCTCTCTCTCTTTCTGTTTGTCTCGCTGTTTCTCTCTGTGAGTCTTTCCTCTCTCTCTCTCTTTCTGTTTCTCTGTTTCTCTCTCTCTCTCTCTCTTCCTTTCTTTCTCTCTGTTTGTCTCGCTGTTTCTCTCTGTGTGTCTCTCTGTGTCTCTTTGTCTCTCTCTCTCTTCCTTTCTCACTTTCTCTCTCTCTCTCTCTCTCTTTCTCTTTCTGTTTGTCTCTCTGTTTCTCTCTGTGTGTCTCTCTGTGTCTCTTTGTCTCTCTTTCTGTTTATCTTGCTGTTTCTCTGTCTCTCTTTCCTCTCTCTGTCTCTTTCTGTTTCTCTGTTTCTCTCTCTCTTCCTTTCTCTGTCTCTCTGTCTCTTTCTATTTGTCTCTCTGTTTCTTTCTCTCTGTCTCTGTCTCTCTGTCTCTCTCTCTTTCTCTCTTTCTGTCTGTCTTTGTGTCTTTCTCTGTTCCTGTCTCTCTTTCTCTGTGTATGTGTCTATTAATTCACCATCCATAATTGTGTTCCTTCTGCAGCCCTGGGAGTCGCAATGCTTCTGCAGCAATTTCCCGCATGAAGTCATTTGTGCAGATTCCTGGGGACAGTCCCTGCTTGTCTCAACAGATGTTGGTGTGTTTCTCTTAGACGGTGAGTAGTAGACCACCTCACGGTTGTGAGAATGTCTGCATATTCCCCTCCTTAAGAAACAAATGGATTTTAGCTGAATTTCCGCTTTTAAGGTGCCGTAGAGAGCTCTCAGCAAAAAACCTTTCTGGTTTTTCATTCTCATTTAGAGAACTGCTTTCCTTTCAGTCTATTTCCTAAAAATATAAGTGTCAGTCTTTGGCTTCAACTCCATGTAGAAATATAACACGGCTAGTATCCTTCTAGGGACGTGGTGGCTCAGTGGCTAAGTCGCTGAGCTTGTAGGTCGGCAGTTCAGCGGTTCGAATCCCTAGCGCCGTGTAACGGGGTGAGCTCCCGTTCCTTGTCCCAGCTTCTGCCAACCTAGTAGTTTGAAAGCACGTAAAAAAAAAATGCAAGTAGAAAAACAGGGACCACCTTTGGTGGGAAGTTAAGAGCGTTCCGTGCACCTTTGGCATTGAGTCATGCCGGCCACATGACCACGGAGACGTCTTCAGACAGCGCTGGCTCTTCGGCTTTGAAACGGAGAGGAGAACCGCCCTCTAGAGTCGGGAACGACCAGCACATATGTGCGAAGGGAACCTTTACCTTGACTATCCTTCTCCTTCATGCCTTTTTAAAAAGAAAAAAGAAAAGACAAGATATTAGGGACCTTTTGCTATAGAAAAAAACAATTGCTTTATGAATTGGTTGTGGGCGTTGTTGTTTTTTTTCTTTGTGTGCGTGTCCTATAATTCGATCGTCCATAATATCAAATAAACGACATGCTTAAATGCTCTCTGAGCTGCATTGCTTTCTCGCAGACGTCTCACGATCCAATTAGGTCGCGTCATCAGGGTTAGAAGCAAACCCCGCTCTCTTCTGCCACTTGAAGATGTTACCTAGTTGGGCAATGAAACGCCTGCGAGGAAACAACCCCGCTCAAGAGAGCCCCGAGGACGCGATGCGTCCTGTTTTGTCGCACAGATGTTCCAGAGGTTCAATGCTTTGGAACCTTCCCTTTCCAGATGGACAACCTCCTATCCCAGTGTTTGATAAAACATTACAGATCAAGCAGATGCACGTACTGGAAACGTTGGACCTTCTAATCACCAGAGCAGACAAAGGTAAGAAGCACCACTCAGCTATTTGGGAGAAGAGCCTTGGGAGGAGAGCCTTGGTGGCGCAGCAGACTAAAGCGCTGTTAAGTAACACCAGCTGCCTGCAATTAGTGCGAGTTCAAATCTCACCAGGCTCAAGGTTGACTCAGCCTTCCATCCTTCCGAGGTAGGTAAAATGAGGACCCGGATTGTGGGGGCAATAAGCTGACTTGGTATAAAAAAGAACACCGCTTAGGGGGGCCCAAAAGCCCTACTAAGCAGGTATATACAAAAGTATGAAGGCTATTGCTTAACGCATTGTAAGCCGCCCTGAGTCTCCGGAGAAGGACGGCATATAAATCGAACCAATAAATCGAACCAATAAATAAATAATATTCCCCGACATCGTAAAACAGAGCTAAGCAACAGAGCTTTGGTTTTGTTTCCCCAATGTGCAGAATTTTCATCGGCATTCGGGACCAAAATGTCCTACAACAGAGTTCCTCAATGTTTCTGGTTTTGAGGACCGGTGTGTATGAATGGGAGAGGGGATGGTTCTGCGTGAGTAGCTGGCAAGCGTTTTCGTGCAACTCCATTTGCACGAGCAGCGTGCACGCACGCCTGCCGCTCACTGAAATGGAGTGCACGTGTGCTCGCTTGCCTGCTGTGCGCACAAGTCAGGATCAGCCACAGCCCACGGGGGGTGGGGGGGAGGGGAGGAAACGACGACCCCTATCCTACAATATCGCTGTCTAGATTTAAAAGCTGTTGTTGCCTTCCTACCAAAATGTGCCAGCGTTCCAAGTAATACACCCAACGGAATCAAAACTCCGAGGCGGGCATATTCCTCAAAGCACAGATTTATTAGGCATGTCACATTTTGGCTGTTTTTGGGCCATTTTTGGACTGTTTTCAGGCTGGGTTTTTTAGCCATTTTTGCCCCCCAAAATGGCCTGAAATCGGCCTGGAAAACAGCCTGAAAACCGTCTGAAAATGGCCTGGTTTTTTGGCTGTTTTTGGCTGTTTTTCAGGCCGTTTTCCGGCGCTCCAGCACCCGTGAAGACCAGCTGGCCGGAATGTGTATGCTGGAAACCAGAAGAGCAGCTGGCAATGGCGCACATGCCCACAGAGAGGGCTCTATGTGCCACCTCTGGCATGCGTGCCATAGGTTCCCCATCACAGATTCTAGCTTGCATTAGAATTAGTTGCATTAGTTTGGTTCTTGCCCTATACTTTTTGTGTCAGCTGTCCTTCTGCAGATGAAAAGTTGGGATATAAATGAGATGGCGATGTTGAAGATCAGGGCCATTGTGATGAGGTAGTCCTCTTGACGGGGTTGTTTGTCCTTCCATCCGCTTAGGGAAGGAGGCACGGCTTCTGGTGTTCAGGCTGAACGCCTTGTGGAAAGGCATCGAAGCAAAGTTGACCCGAAGCAAAAGCGATTGCCGAGAAAACAAGTTGGAGAAAACGAAAGGTATTGTGAAACCATCTGTTCATACAGTTTTCTATAGTAATCTTGTATAATTTCTTTCTTCTCTTTATTCCCAAATCTAATTTGTCCTTGGTCATCTATTCGTTGTGTTATTTGTCTTGATTCTCTCTCTTTTTTTCAGTCTATATGCTAACCATCTACCTGGTTTGTTGGCATCTTCAAAATAGTTCTGTTTAGCACTTCTAATTTTTTGCGCTAAGTCTTTTTCTATTAATCCCATTTTGTGTTTAGCTATATCCATTTTTATTTTGATATCCTTCTTTTGTGAAAATTCCTGAAGTTCCTTCTTGACTTTCTTATCATCATCCTCTACATCCTGTTTATATTAACATTAGAAGTGCTAAATAGAAATATTAGAGAAGAAAAAGATATAAAAGGAATGAAAATTCAAAAGGAAGAATATAAATTGCAAGCCTTCGCAGATGACCTGGTTTTCCCCAAAATAAGACATCCCCTGATAATAAGCCCAATCGGGCTTTTGAGCGCAGGGCAATAAGGCCAAGCACTTATTTTGGGGTTCAAAAAAATATAAGACTATAGACTGGACAACCATTTACATGTATAGGTTCTCCTGCTCGAGCAGGAGGTTGGACTAGAAGACCTCCAAGGTCCCTTCCAACTCTGTTATTCTATATTCTTTGTTCAGTTTTGAGGAGGAAGGATCTGGATCTCACTGTGCTTCGGAAAGGAAACTTAAACTGGATGTCTTTTAGCTCCTTCTCATGTTTGGGAAATTCCTCTTCGGACCGTTCCTGATTGCCTCTGATTTCTGTTCTCCAGGTTGCCATCTCTACGCCATCAACACTCATCACAGCAACGAACTGCGGATCATCGTCGCGATTCGAAACAAGCTCCTTCTTGTCACCCGGAAGTTCAGGCGGTGGGAGACTCTGAACGGTGCCCCCTTGGCGTCCCCCCAGTCCGAATCCCCTGTAGAGGAGTTCCAATACATCAGGGTAGGTTTGAGGTAACGCATCAGCGGATGAGCTGCCGAGCTGAGATCAAACAATGACAGATGAGCGAGGCTGGGGTTTCCCAACCTTGGCAAACTTTAAATTGTGTGGACTTCAACTCCCAGAATTCCCCAGCCAGCCTGGCTGAGTTCCACACATATTAACGTTGCTAAGGTTGAGAAATAGTGAACCAGGCTGATAGTCAACCGATAGCAGAGAATCTTTGTAGCTCAGGGTTGAACTGTGGGGTCCTTGATGCTCTCTGAGCTTGGTGTCAACTGTCCAGTTGGCGAATCCAGAAAAAGAAACCATCATCTTCTTTTAACGATTCCATAATCCCTTGGAGTCTGGGCGACTGAATGGAGCTAGCAATGAACCCCCAGCAGCCCACCCCTGCCTGTCTTGAGATGCAGAGAGCTTTTTCAATCTTTTGCAAAAGCCAAAAGCATTACAGACAATAAAAAATCCAGTTAGGTGATTTCCTCTGGACATCCTTAACCTGTCTGTGCTGTTCTTCATATTTTTTTCTGGCTTCTGATTTTTCTGGTGCAGGAAATCTGCTTATCCGACCCACCTGTGGTCATGACATTGGTGGATGGCCCCACCGGCGAAAACGACAACCTGATCTGCGTGGCCTACCGACACCAGTTTGACCTGGTCAGCGAGAGCACGGGCGAGTGCTACCGAATGCACAACGTCGACGCAAGCAGGGTAGGTCCAGGAGAGAGTCCGGGAGACAATTCAGAATTAGGTTCGCATTGGAAGATCCTGTTTTCTGAATCGGAGGGGGAAGAAACCGAGGTATTTTTTCCCGATAGTCCAATAGTAATGGGAATATTGCGCCACGGTGGTGCAGTGGTTAGAGTGCAGTACTGCAGGCTACTTCTGCCGACTGCCGGCTACCTGCAGTTTGGCAGTTCAGTTCTCAACAGGCTCAAGGTTGACTCAGCCTTCCGTCCTTCCGAGGTGAATAAAATGAGGACCCAAATTGTTTGGGGGGGGGGCAATTGGCTGACTCTGTAAACCCTTAGAGAGGCCTGTAAAAGCACTGTAAAGCGGTATATAAGTGCTATTGCTCACTCGCCCTTCCTTCCTTCCTTCCTTCCTTCCTTCCTTCCTTCCTTCCTTCCTTCCTTCCTCCCTCCCTCCCTCCCTCCTTCCTTCCTTCCTTTCCTCCCTCCATTCCTTCTTTCCTTCTTCCTTCCTCCCTCCCTCCCACGTTTTCTTCCTCCCCCCCTCCCTCCCTCAGCCTTCCATCCTTCTGAAGTTGATAAAACGAGGACCCAGATTGTTGGGGGCAATAGGCTGACTCTGTAAACCGCTTAGAGAAGGCTGTAAAAGCACTGTGAAGCGGTATATAAGTCTACGGGCTATTGCTATTGCATCCAGTTTTGGTCGCCATGATATAAAAAAAGATGTTGAGATTCTAGGAAAAGGGTAGAGAAGAGCAACCGAGATGATTAGGGGACTGGAGGCTAAAGCATATGAAGAACGGGTTCAGGAACTGGGAATGTCTAGTCTAGTGAAAAGAAGGACTGGGGGGGGGACATAATAGCAGTTTTCCAACATTTATGGGCTTCCACAAATAAATGGGAGACAATCTATTCTCCAAAGCACCTGAAAGCAGGACAAGAAGCAATGGGTGGAAGCTACTCAGAGGAAGATCCAACTTGGAACTAAGGAGAAATTTCCTTATAGTGAGGACAATTAACCAGTGGAACAGCTTGCCACTAGAAGTTGTGGGTGCTCCATCACTGGAGGTTTTCAAGAAGAGTTTGGACAGCCACTTGTCCAGAATGGGATAGGGTCTCCTGCTTGAGCAGGGGGTTGGACTAGAAGACCTCCAAGGTCCCTT